GCCTGCTGGCTGTATTCCTGGGACTTGCCTTTGCTTCTTGCCTGAGTTAGACCTCTCTTTTCTAATATCTTATGTCTTGATTTTTGTATACTCATTTACTGAAGTATATCTTCCTGTGAAAGAGTACATAGAAAGTAAATTGTTGAGTCCTTACATGTTTGAAAAATGCATTTATGTAACTCTCATTATACTTGGTTAATAATTTGGCTGAGGAGGCAGAGGCTGCAATGAGCCGAAACTGCACCCCTGTACTCCAGCCTGGGTGACAGAGCAAGACTGTCTCAATAATAATAATAATAATAATGCGGCTGTATGTGAAATTTGAGTCTGGAAGTCATTTTCCATAGAATTTTGAAGGTACCTTGCTGTCCTCTGCTATCTGCTCTTGCTATTGAGATGTGTTTTCCCATTCAGACTTTCATTCTTTAATATGTAGCGTGACTGTATAATTTATTATCAAAACTGGGACATGTAAGGTGCTAGCCTGACAACACATTAGGACAACAGGTGTAAACCAGGACTTTCTTGGTAAACTGGGACATATGGTCACCCTGTTTATATGTAACCTATTTTTTCTTTAACTGCTTAGGATCTTCTCTTGACCTCTGGTGTTCTATATTTCATGATGACGTGTCTTGACAAAGGCCCTTTTTTATTCATTGCACTAGGTCTTTGCAGGTGTATTCCTGTTCTTTCTATGATTTTGGAAAATTTTCAGTATTGCTTCAAACTTTTTCTCCCAACCTTTGTTTGTTAGATGTTTGACTTTCTGGATTATCCTCTAAATTTTTGTCTTGTCTTGCAAATAAACAAGGGGATATTATCTTTTTGCTTTTTGGCTTTCTTTTTGTTTTATATCAGAGATTTTCATTCATTTATCTTTAAGTTCTTCTGTTGGATTTTTAAAAATTTTCTGTTTAGTGTTTAATTTTTCATTTTAGTCTTTTTCACAGCATCCTGCTCTTATCAAAGTATACCCTCTCCCACTTCTGGGATATTCATTGTAAGTTTGGAGTTTTTTTTCTCCTTTTTAAGCATTTACTTTGTTCTCTGCATTGCTTCCTCGAGTCTCTTTTCTACTTGTTTGGTCTCTGCATGAGGATTCCCTCAGATGCAGGTGATCCTTAACTGTCTGTTCATATTTAAGAGTAAAGCATTAAAGTTTATTATTTGGAATCTCTGAAACTTGGGCAGAGCTTTTTGGCTTCTTTAAATATAATTATGTTGTGAATTGACTTCTTTGTTAGAGTAGCCTTGGATGTCAGAATTTGTATTTGTTTGCTTTGTTTTGTATATATCTATTTGTGCTGCTATAGCAAAATACCACAGATTGGGTAATTTTAAAAGAATGGAAATTTACTTCTCACAGTTCTGGAGGCTGTAAAGTCCAAGAACAAGAAGCTGGCAGTTTCTGTTGTCTGGTGAAGGCTGCGCTCTGCTTCCAAGATGGTGCCTTGATGCTGAATTCTCCTGAGGGAATTCATGTGGCAGAAGGTGGAAAGGCAAAAGGGACAGACTTCCTCCATCATGCCCTTTTAGAGGGATGCCTAATCCCCTCCACAAGGGCAGAGCCTGTGTGACTCAATCACCTCCCAAAGGCCATTCCTTCCAATACTGTTGCATTGAGGATTAAGTATGTTCAACATATGGATTTTGGGGGACACATGCAGAAGACCATAGCAACTTCGAAATCTAATTTTGGCGGTGGGAGGGCAGACACCTTTCAGTTTCTTCCAGAAAAGGCTCCTCTGCTTTCCTAACTAGGAAATTATAGAATAGGCTGTTAGCTTTGTACAAATAAGGTGGGAGAAAGGGAGAGGTTTCAGAGATTAACATAGAGCTTTTCCCTTGTACCCCATTCCAGCCTTCTTTGCCTGGTGTCCTCTATTCTGGAACTTCTGTGGTTCAGTTTTTCCAAAGAATAAAATTTCTTTTTTCTCGCGAGCGGAGGTGGATGGTAGAGGTGGTTAGTCACTTGGCCGTATGGGATAATGGAGAAGGGCCAAGTGGTTCTGCTCCTTCTCTTTTTCCCACCTTGCGTGGTAACTGCCAGAGAGCTGATCCTCACAGGAATTCTGCAGCCTAATACAATTGGCTTCATCTTCACCTTTATTCACTCTGGTCATTTGGGTGATAACTCCTGCATGTCCTTACTGTCTTGGAAAAATTTATGAACATATGCACGCATTAGCTCTCCCTTTCTCTTTTTTCTTGTAAGTTAGTATTTACTTTATTCCTCAACTGTCTCTTAAAGGGGTTGAGAAGAGATAAACTAATGTGTTCAATCTGCCATTTTTAACTGTTTGTAGCATGCGTTTTTTTCTAGTGAAAGTATTATAAATGTTGATTAGATGCTTAGTAGTACTATTAGTGCTGTTCCTCAGGTATATTGGTATGGGTTAAATAGGTTTCTGTGGCCGACCTGAAAACCTAACTGTATCTATGATTTTCCCCTAGAACTAGAGGTATAATCAAGCCTTTCTGAATTGATTATCTGGAGGAATTTTAACAGACGAGAGCAAAAACATTTTATCTCTCTCTCCATTTTCCAAATCACATAGAAAATTACTACAAATACTGTATCATCATTGTTGAAATAAAAGGCTCTAATAATTGTATCAGAAACTTGAATTTTAGTAGAAAGGTTTATTTGTAAAGTTAAAGCTATACAAATTAAAATCAGAAAATTGAATTCTTCAGCCAATATCCTCAAATCTTTTTTTTAGCAACTTTTTTGAAAGCAATTTTATAATTAAATTTAAACCCAGTGATAATGGTAGCTGTGGGAAACAGTAATATTTGTTTAACTGTATTTTTTGTTGTTGTTGCTTTCTTTTTCTTACCGTGGACACAACAGAATCTTCTGAAATATTGGACTGAATAAACTACACCTAGCTAGATAGACCAATAAAACAATCTTCCAAGTCATGAATGAGTAAAAATAGTCATACAGAGCGCTTGTGTGTGAAAATGCAGCTCAGACTATATATAGTACACAAAGTGCTTGAAAGTAAATGCTGCACCAACTTGGTGTTGGAATTGTGGAGACCACTGCAAGTGTAATAGATCCTCTGCAGTTGTGAGCTCCAATTTCCAGCCTTCGGCAAGGGCATATTCTTCCCGAGGATCACCCTGTTGTGCTGGGGCAGCCTTCCGTGAGCACTTCCTCCCCAGTGACCCTGACTGCCCAGTCTCAAGGGATCTGAGAAAATTAGGAAAACCAGGAATGGTGGTTGTAATCTTTTGTGTGGCTGGAACAAGGTAAGGGCAATGAAATGCAATTATTCCATTATTTTCCTTCCTTTTTATTTTTCTTTCTCTTTTATTTCTTCTTTATAATTATTATTAACCACTCCCTCTCACTCCCCCTACTCCTTGCTTCTGACAGAATATTGACTAGGAACCAGAAGCCCATTTCTGCTTAGCCTTAAGGGCAGCTGTTTACACAGCAGCAGTGTTACATAGGTTTACTGTGTCGTATGTCTGTGTAACACTGGATTTGGATCTTGTATTTAGCTGCCAGAAGTGACTGTGATGAAGTAGGAGAGATAAACTGATAGATTGGCTGCCAGAAAGATGTTGGGAATCAATCAGATAAACAGGGTAGAGAAATAGCTTGCTGTTTTCTAGTGATAATAAAACCAGCGGCTTCTGGTCCCTGCATTCTTAAACATAATTGCTGTGGTAATAATGTCCAAAATAAGCAAATGAAAAAACATCACAGGAGGTTTTCTAATTGCAATTGAGATATCCTTTTCCCTTTTTCAATAAAGATTCATCTTTTGGAAGTGAATATTTTTATAAATTTATTTTACTTCTTCCAGTGCCTACTTACATAAACATATGAAATTAGAAAGAGACCTGCTTTCAGAGGGATTTATTTCTGTGTCTTCATCCTCCCACAGGCTTCAGCTATTTGATTTGGTGAAATATCTCTATTGCCACCATGCCTCACCTACAAAATAATGGCTAATTTTTATGAAGAAACAAGTTTTAAGGTCAAACTTGGATTATTGACAGATGATTAGCAGAACTAGTTTATCTTAGCGTCTTCACTTAAATTTCTTTCAGAAGATTTTTGGAATTTTAATCTCTGTTTCTCTTTCTCTGCATTTGGTACTTGTAGTTCTATTATCGTAATTTAGGGTTTTTCTCCTTTAGTGTTTAACTTTTAAAACCATTGCTTCTCTTCACCCAGGACTTTTAAGATTCAGTGCAGATTCATAAGTCTGTACGAAAGGTACAGACGCAGATTTCAACTGGGTGCAGTGGAGTCAGGGTTAAAATGACAGTAGAAGAGTCATTTAGAGTAACTCCCATGGAGTTTATTATATGGGACGAGAGACTAATCTTCTGTGGTGTATTTGCAGTATACAAATGACTTTCTTTAGGTTCCCTCCCTCTTAAAATTTTTGGCTATGAATGTGTTGGTATCATGTGTGGCTAAATCACTTAATACCAAGCGTGGTAGAGTAGCAGGTATGGGAAACAAGAGGATGATGCGCACACTTTTAATTACGAACAGTAAAGGCTTTTTGCCTGAGGAAGACCTTTCTGACTGTTGGAGGTTATAGTTCAGAAGTTAACCTTGCACCATTATCCTATTGGTGAGGAGCTGATGCATTTCCCTTTTTGCCACATGGCCCTTCCCACCTGACCTTTTAAAGATTCTCCATTGATATCGATGGAGTGAACAAAACTAATCATAAAAACGATGAAGGGAATGTTGCACACTCATTGATGTATTTGAAATGAACTGCAGTACAATAAGTCTTCCAAATGGACTTCTGTTCTCAGCTACTGCTAGAGCCACCTTTTTAAAGATATATAACTATGAAAGGGTTAAAGGGAATTCAGTAATGCTCTTGCCACTGTGTTGTCCCTTATTGATTGTAGTTTTAGAGCTGTCACTATGCCATTCAGAATTCCTTCTCTGCCCTTTTAAAACCAGTTGTACTGGAAGATGATAAATACATTTATTGCTTTCCTTTTTCCCCTAGCTCCTTCGAGAACTCATAGAACGCAAGACCAGCTCCTTGGATCCCAACGATCAGGTGGCCATGGGAAGGTAATCTAGATACAGCTTTCTGTTCATGCAAGCAGCCTATGTAATAGTTTCTCCCCTTGAGTTCCTTTAAGTCTACCTGCAAAGCATTGATTGGTCCTATAATTATTGAAGTTAAGCAAGATAACAAGAGCTAGAAAGAAAACGTGGCTAATTGTTTACCCTACATTGCCTAAAGTACAATTTGAAAAGAAATTATAAAACACCAGTGTGTTTGTTTTTAGAGTTTGTTTTCCCAAGTCTTTCTGATGCTCTTTGCTCCCTGGTTTGCGTTGTGATTGTATCCATATCAATCTGTTGACCAGTGGATACAAAGCAGCCACCCAAATGTGAGCTCTCAGCTGTCAGAACATGGCACTGCACACAACAGGTTCCTTGCTCTCAGTCGAATCTGCTTTGTTAGAGTCTGCCCTAATTTAGACCTCCACCCCTTCAGTAAAAGCTTCAGCACAATTAGAAATGGTACGTGGCAGCATTACCCAGATGTCAGGGCAGAATGTAAAGTAGTGAAGGAAGGCTCTTGTGTGTATGCTTCATCCTGTGGTTGGAAAATAAAAAGGGCATTTAGAGTGCTACCTAATGAATAGTGTACATTTAAATAGCCATGAGCCATAATTTGCAAAAGCATGAAAGGAAACAAAAGCTGCAAGTGCCAGAATGGGATTCTAGGCAGAGCAGCCTTTCGAGAAAGCAATGAAAAATTTGTGTTGATGAAATAATTTTATTTGAGTAAAATATTATTTGAATTTTAGGGTAGGATGTTGTTGATGTTTCGTTTATCTCTGGAATGTTATAGAGAGCTGTTCACTATAAATTTAATGTGATAGAGCAAATTGCATTTAAGTGGTGATTATATTGTACATTTATCTGACTTTACAATAAAATAGATTATGGTAATTAAGATTATATTAAGATTACAGTAATTGGATTTCCCTAGATTTTTTTTTTTTTTCTGGTGTTGAGTTTTCGTTGTATAAATCAGGTAAGATGACTAGCTGCTGCTGCTGTTTCTCCTTCTTTTTCTTTTTTTCGCTTTAGTTCATATGAGCAATTTATGAAGATTTTCTTAGCCTAGTATCCCTTATTGAAAAATTAATTCCTTTGTATCTAAAATGACTGCAGAATATGTGAATCTTGTTTGGATTCTGATCCAAACAAGCCAACTGTAAAATTGAGACATTCCAGGAAATGTGAAGACTGACTGAATATTTGATAATAAAGAATTATTGTTGACTTTTTTTTTAGATGTGGTAATGGTATTGAGATTATATTGAGGGGAGAAGAGTCCTTATATCTCCTCTTGTATAGCAACACGTACTGAAGTATTTATAGATGAAATGAAAATTAACAATTTAAAACAAATAAAATTAAACAATTTAAAACAATTGAAAACTAGTATCAGTATCAGTAGTGGATAATTATTTAAAAATTAGCAAAAATTGGAAAGCACAAGAAAAAGCATTGAAGGATTACCAAAGGGAGAGTTAGATTTTAAAAATTCATGCATTCAAACCAACCAGCAGTTGCAACATTAGTAATAGAACATGCTGCATAGCTAAAACATTAAAAGAAAACCCAAGCAGCTATACTAAATTTGATGGGTTTGCCTGCAGACTGGTAGATTTAGTGCTTGTCACAGCAACTCCAAATACTAAGGAGCATTGTTAACCAAATTTGCTGTAGAATTTCCCAGCTGCCATTTGTTGTTTTACCATTACACAAATCCTGTTCAATTGATTAGTCAGTTTGGCCCCAAACTAGCTTAAGGAACTTGATGTAGGTTGATGATTTCTTTCTGCAGGTTGTTAGAATAATTCCAATTTGTCAATATGTATAACTATTTCTGTTAGTGATGATGCATAATATTGCTTGTGAATTTTCCAGGCAGTGGCTTGCAATCCAGAAGTTACGAAGCAAAATCCACAAAAAAGTAGATAGGAAAGCCAGCAAAGGCAGGAAACTTCGGTGAGTTCCTTTTCGGAAAAAATGTCAACATATATTGTGTATGTATCTCTTCTCTTTCATTCTGGCTGTTATGTCATTTTTCTTTTTCTTCTGATGATTCTGTTTTTAAGGATCAGAAAAATAAACAATGTTTGAAGGTTTTTGCAACTCAGTTTTTCTTATTCTAAAATGGAAATATAGTTTCATTGACTTTTGTGCTACTGTTGTGAATGGATGAGTGAAATAATATATGCATTCCTTTGAAAGAGAAAAAATAAGAAAACAAAAGATAGTTGAAATTGTATTAATTTTAACAATTAATTTCTATAGAAACATATAAAAATGTTATGGCCAGACGCAGTGGCTCATGCCTGTAATCCTAGCACTTTGGGAGGCTGAAGTGGGCGGATCACTTGAGGTCAGGAGATCCAGACCATCCTGGCCAACATGGTGTCTCTACTGAAAATACAAAAATTAGCTGGGTGTGGTGGTGGGCTTCTATAGTCCCAGCTACTCAGGAGGCTGAGACAGGAGAATCACTTGAACCCGGGAGGCAGAGGTTGCAGTGAGCCAAGATCGTGCCATTACACTCCTGCCTGGGCTACAGAGTGAGACCCCATCTGAAAAAATAATAATAAAAATAAAAATGTTATTGTCTTATCGGTCCATTTTCATGAGCCATATGTGCACACAGTATGCTAAAAAGATATAAGTGAAGGACTACAGGGAATGTTAACAAAGTTTTTAAATGAGAGGAGAAATAAAATGTTTATGAGAAAATAGAGAAATTGCTGAGTTTAGGAAAACCCTCCCCTGTGAGTTCTTTACAGAGTTTTATAAGGGCACACATACAAGAAGGAGCAAAGTGGAAACTGACCTCGCTGTACTGTTAGACTTGGTAACTGCCGTGTGTGTGTGAAACACAGTATCATCACACAAAGTCTCAGTGTCAAAGAAACTGCCTGTAATTCAGGTGCACACTGAGAGAAAATCTTAACTTGTTTTAGGACAGTTTCAGGCAGGTAGTCAAACGCACATCCTTATTAGAACCTGCCTATCATTAAATTCCCTTTAGACAAATGTGGGTCTGATTTTTAAAGATCTTCAGAGAAGTAGATTTTTTCAGTTACTTTAATTAACTTGTTTTAGTATTTACCACAACTCATCAGGAAATGCTGATTTTTCTTTAACTTTGCAAAAGTATACAGTATCATCAACTTTGCAAAGTATCATCCTTTGATTTAGGGTCGCTTTTTTTAAATCTCAGGTTAAATTGTTAGAATTTGCTTACCTCTTTTTATATCTTGAAATTTCCAAATTTTCATAGTTCTCTAGGTTCGTTTTTAGAGGTGAAGAGCATGGACTTAAGACCCAGACTGCCTGAGTTTGAATCCCAGCTTTGACATTGATTAGTAGCTACTTTGGGCAAGACCCTTTAACTCTGTGCTAGTTTCTTCATCTGTAAAATGGATATGGTAATATACCAGCCTTGAGGGGTTGCTGTGAGGATTAAATGAATAGTATATGTATGGCTCTTAGAATAGCACCAGGTACATAGTAAGCACTATATAAGTGTTTATTGCCATTACTACTGTCATTATTATTGCTACCAGTATTCCAAGGTTGGGTCAGTCTCTTTTCCTAGTGTTCATTTATTTGTTTACTGACACGTCTCTTCTGTACCTGTCTCCCCCCAGCCCACTTCAAGGATTTAAAGAAGAATGTTACTAATAATACTTCATAGGTGACTAGGCTGAATGATTATCTTATTCTTTATTTTGGGGATCAAATTTTTCTCCAGTAATGTACTTTTAAAATTGTAATTTTATGAGGACATAAATGTTCTCTAAAAGGAAGAGCTTAGGATTTCAAATCACAAGACTTGTGTTCAAATCCTGGCTCTGTCTGGTGATATGATTTTGGTTTTGTTCTTTATTCTCTGGGCCTCACTTTTCTCATTTACTAAGTGGAGATAATCCTGCTTTGGGGATTTGGTATGGGAATTAAATGAAATCATGTGCAAATATCTGGTACATAGCAGGCATTCAAAAATGTTCGATTTATCAGTTTGAAAGGAAAAAAACCAGGATTTGTTTTAATAGCAGCTGCTTTTTATATTAATGAATTCAACTAGCTTCATTAAACTGTTGATTACAGGTATGTGTCAGTGCAATTAGATACCTTTGCTTTTGTAGCATTTTGATAGCGGTGGAGATCCCCACATTCTCATCTATCCAGAGGCAGTAAAATCTTATTCTGGCAAGAGGCATTCTTTTTAAACAGGGTTAAACATGAAAATACTAAATAATAAGTGGTTTTACTGTCCTTCACCCTCTAGGAAGATGGTCATTAGGTGGTAGTTAAGACCCAGTCTGCCCTCAGGGAGCATACACATCATCTGTGGTATATGTGGAGGATTGGTTCCAGGACGCACAAACACTCCCACACCCCCACCCCTACAGACACCAAAATCCACAATGCTCAATTTCCTTATATAAAATGGCATAGTATTTGCATATAACCTACACGCATCCTCCGTATACTTTAAATAGTCTCTAGATTACTTATAATCCCTAATTCAATACAAATGCCATGTAAATAATTGTTATACTACACCGTTTAGGGAATAATAACAAGAAAAAAAATTGGGACATATTCAATGTAGACACAATCATTTATGTCTTAAGTATTTTTGATCCATGGTTGATTAAATCTGTGGATGCTGAACCCACAGAATCAGAAAGCCAACTAGTCTGGAGAGGGTGGCAGACCCTAGCTAACTGAGGTACTGTGTGGGTGGTGTAGCAGTAGAAATAATCCTGCTCCACCCTTGAGGGATGCAGACTGCTCAGGAAGACTTGCACAAGAAGACATCCTCACTGAGCCTGAGAGATTAGTAGGTGTTTGCCCAGTGGAAGGCAAAGAGAATGTGTGCAGAAAGGTTTGTAAGCTTGAGAGAGTGTGGGGCCCATTTTGGGAACTGTAATTAATTTGTTTTGGCAGAGACTGTTGTAGCAAACTGGGATTTGAACTAATTGGTCTGATTCCAGAGCCTGTTCTTCTAACCTCTGGATGTTGAATTGTTTCACTGCTAGGACCAACTGGCCTGTACAGGCACCAAAAGTGAATATGAGAGAATGGCAGGAGATAAGGCTGCATGCATGGGTGAATGATAGATCATGGCCATGTTAAGAATTTTGGACTTTATTCTATAGACTGTAGTGAGTCATTGAAAGATTTTAGGCAGAGGAATATTGTTATCACATTCACATTTTAGAAAGATGATTGGCTGGGCGCAGTGGCTCACGCCTGTAATCCCAGCATTTTGGGAGGCTGAGGCAGGTGGATGGCTTGAGGTCAGGAATTTGAGACCAGCCTGGCCAACATGGTGAAACCTCATCTCTACTAATAATACAAAAATTAGCCAGGTGTGATAACATGTGCCTGTAGTCCCAGCTACTCCAGAGACTGAGGCAGGAGAATCGCTTGAACCCAGGAGGCAGAGGTTTCAGTGAGCAGAGATCATGCCACTGCACTCCAGCCTGAGTGACAGAGCGAGACCCCGTCTAAAAAAAAAAAAAAGGTAATTGTAGGAGATTTTCTATAAAGGACTAGAAAGTTATGAGAGCGAGGCCTGGAAGGAATAGGAGATGACAGATTGAGAGACATTTATACAGGTGAGTAGTTCTTACTTAGGAGTGGCCGCACATGAAGAGGTAAAGGAAAGTGAGAAGGTTGGAATGACTCCCAGGGTTTCAGGGAACTAGATAGGTCTTGGTAGTAATCATTGATATGTGCAAAAGAGGGGCTGCAAGGAGAACATCTTTTTTGTTGTTGTTTTTTGAGGGAAGGAGTGGATTCAGTTTCTGACCCTTCAGAAATCCAAGTTGAGAGATTTTTCAGTCGAGAGGAGGATGTAGGTATTTATTAGTTGATAGTTTGGCAACAGCTTAATTGCTGTTTCCCAGGGAGAGTACAGTGTGACAAGAATACAGAGTGACAAGAGTAGAATCCTGAAGAATGTCAACATACGTGAGATAGACAGGGTAAGAGGAGCTCGTAAAGAATGCTGAGGAACAGTGGCCATTGAGGGAGGAGGGCAGGAGGAGGTTAGTGACAGCGGTGAATACAAGACAGTTGTTTAGTAAGGGGTCAGGAGCGCCTGGTGCGTCAGAGAAATCACAAAGGGCAGCATCATTTCATTTGTGATCACATTTCTTCACGTGAAATATTTGCCTTTGGTTACTGAAGAATTCCAGAAACCTCAAACTAAAACTTTCCATACTTAAAAGGCCTCTAGAATTTCTGTGTAAACTTTTACTGTCTTGATTGGTTTGTTTCATAAAAGCCTTTTGGAATCCAGTTGTAGAGGGAATGAGAGAAATAGAAAACCACCACTAGGGAAACCCCACCTTAATGATTTTTGCAGGCAAGGTTCACCCATAGATGCTAAAATCAATGGGCAAAAGTTTGAGGAGAAACTGTATTTATATGGTCTCTAAGTATCTCCCCCAAGATATTTGTCCATTACGAAGAGAAACATAGTGGCTTTGCAATAATCTAGCAGATGCCACCTTAACCAAGTGTTCAAGATGAACAGCACCAGTAAAGAGACATATCCACACCCCCTCTGTCTTCAGTAGAAAGATACAACATCATTTCTGTGGTATTCTTGCCACAAAATGCCTAACCTTAATCTCATCATAAAACAGCATACAAACCCACATTGTGAGACACTCTACCAAATAACTGACCTGCACTCGTCAAGTGTCAAAATAATGAGAAAACAAGGACTGAGGGACTGTCTCAGATTTCAGAATAAGGAGACATCACAGCGAGTTGTAATGTGAGGTCTTAGAAACCTAAAATTATTACAGAACAAAAAGTGTGTAATATGAGTTCATGTGTGTTGAATTGGTTTTGGTTTTGTCATCTGTACTCACCTGGCTCATCTTGAGACCATAAATAAGAGGATGTGGTCAGAATCAGGGAGTAGTCTTTACTCAGCAATAGCATAGCAA